TGGGAACCACTGATATATAGGATACTATGGATTTTTTTGTAGGCAAAAACAGGACATTTGGTGCTGTCGGTGCTGCGTTTTGTTTTCACCCTCACTGCCTTTCACACCCCAACAACAAACCGACTTTGAATTTAAATAGGATCTCAGAGTACAAAACAAAAATCCATTATCTATTTGGACATTAAATACATTCTCATGCATGTGATGTAAAGATAAAAGCCTCTTTTAGGAGAGGATGTATTTTTGCTACCAGTGGAGTCGCCCCTTGCTGGATATTAGAGAGAGTGCAAGTTTGAGGAGCCTTTCCATTGCCTTCATTTATTCAGACCTTGAGATGACTGCTTGAAGTGAACTGCTTCCCAGGGGGGCAACTTGCAACTGAATTGTCAAAATAAAGTTCTCAAAAAAGGTCTTGAGTTACACCATCTAATTTCTGTAGACAACAAAATAAATGAAACGTGAAACCTGTTGGAGGAGTCGGACAGCACCTCAGGAGTGGCACCGAGCAGATTGCTGACAATGTGGACGGAGATGTTTCCGAGAGCAAAGCTGACCGTTGGGCCCGACAAAAGTCTCTCCAGCTTTGACACCAGCTGACGCACCTGGCTGGAGTTCACCTTGGACATATCTTTGGTCAACTCAAGCAGTGCATTGGCTTGGCTTTCAGCTGCAGTCAAGAACATTTGAAAAGTACACTTTAATGATGCTATAATGATGTCAATGTTGGGAACAGAGTTGTACACAGTGCTGAGGTGAAAACAAACCTGACTCGGGGACAGTAGTGAGGGTTGCATTCAGAGCTGGAGATGTTGCTGTCAGCGTGGATGAAGTTACATTTGCAGATGAGGTGGATGAAGTTACATTCACAAGTGAGGTGGATGAAGTTACATTCACAGGTGAGGTGGATGAAGTTACATTCACAGATGAGGTGGAGGTGTTTGGTTGTGCGGTTGTCACATCCGGGCTGGGTGGTAGCACATGGTGTAGCATCACACGACTCGTTAAGCTCCACAATTATATTTTTCCTGCCATGACTGTTAAGAAAAAAGGAAGAAATTAGAATCCTGGGTTGCAAGTATTTGTTAAGATTTTAAATCAGGTTTTTGTTGTAATAGTGCAGATCATACAAACCAAGTCAGGAGGTTAGACTCTACTATTGTTGGGCAAAAGTAAGCAGGAGGTATGTTCAATTGGTACCACATGTTGCTGAGAGAATTCAGTGGATTGTCACTGAAGGAATTTCCACAAATGGCTGTGGGACACAGAAGAAAAAACACAAATGAGGAGTTTTACAGCAAAGACTTGCAGCTATTTTCTTGACGGCATGAATTGCTGTTGAATTGACTTGTTTTCCCTGTATTAAGTTCACACACCAGCTCGAGTCACGGTTCCAAAGTAACGTATTCCTGGCTCAGATTCAAACAAATGAATCACAGCATTCGACAAATTACAGATAGGAACCTCACGGCCAAAGTGTAAAGTCACTCTGCATTTTTGAAGACTTAAAGTAAAAAAGCAAAAGAGTACAGATTACAGTCACTGTTCAAATGCATCAATGCAAAGAAATGGTCCAGCAAAGCTATGAGTAGGATTAGACTCACTTTGTTGATGAGCTTCCACATGTCACAGTGGCGTTCTAGGAAGAAATGTTCATTGTTAAAAAGCATAATATCCAGTGTCAATCCAGAGCAAAACATTTGTATTTCATGGACATCTGACCAAAAAGAAAAAGCCATGTGCAGTGGCCAATTGCCTCAATGCCATGCATCACATTGGCAAAATGAAATGCAAAAAAAATATTTTCACTTAATATTCGAATTTGATCTTTCTTGTAATTGCCTATTTAAACTAAAATGTGAAGTTCAGGCACAATTATTACAGTTTGGTCGTCGGTTACCCTGTATTCTGATGCAATGACGGACAATGGACATGAATCGCTGCAAAGGAACATTACAAAGATTGTGATTTATTTTTATTTTAACAAATGGTATTTATTGATGTCAAATTTGATTTGATTTGATGAATGCAAATACTTACTCTTCCCTTGAATAGCAATCTGGTTTACTCAGGTTATACATCTGGAAATATTCAAGAGATTAGAGTTAGATAATTCATTTATGTATAATTTGAGACACTTAATAAAATAATTGAACATTCTTACACGTGAATGTTGACTTACCATGGACGAAACGTACGAAAAATTCATCTTGGAATCTTGTACTGAAAATTGAAAAGTGTAGTATGCCTCTGAAAACAAAAAGATAACACTTAACAAATGTCTTATTTTATCAGGTGGTTTTGTTGTTAATAAAACACTCACCAACTCCATTGCAGTAGGCAGAGCAGTTGCAGGGGTTATGAACTGGAAAAAAAGTCAAAGCATATTGGTTTTCTTTATTTAAATGATAGTATGAAAACAACCACTTAAATATTAAATTATAGTATTCAACCTGCCTTTGTCTAATTTTTGGCCACTGTGCCATTATTTCACCTATTATTTACACAAGAAATAATCAACTATAGCATATAAATGTGTAGGTTATATAAAGGGTCCGTTTTAAAGAGTGATTTGTGCAGGACTATATAACTCGGCCGGCTGGGCACATTGACTTCCTGGAGCGTCCGCTGCTTGCTGTTTCTCCATGGTAACAAAACTAACCTGACGCGCCAGGTGATCTTGTGATCGCGCGATTCTTGCGTGATATCGCGAGATGCATTGAAAGGTAAACAAAACACTGCACGCGGCCAATAAATGAATGTATACATACAAAATAAAACGTGTTAATTAGTGACCATCAGTGGTCTTGCCAGGGTTTGTTACCTACCGAAAAAGCCGGACTAGTTTCTGCACATTTCTAGTCTTTATGCTAAGCTAAGCTAACTGGCTGTAACTGTAGGCTATATTAACGGTACAGATATCAGATGGGTATTGTTCTTCTTAAAACATTATAAGCAAGAAAGCGAACAAATCTGCTTCCCAAAAATGTAAATATAAACCTTGGAATAAATGTTTAGCCTCACAATGGCTCTTCCAATTAACTGTCCAAGTTAAGTCAACTTTACTTTGACTACATGTAGGCTAACCTAGGCCTATGCCACATGTCTACCTTGAAATTGTTGGTTAATGAATGTAGCCTAGATCAGAAGAATTTTCTTTACTTTCTGTTTTTTGAAGATGTTCAAAGGAAATGTTGAAAGCTCACCTGCCCCACAGTGTGCTGAGTTGCCTAGAGCAGCCACAGTCCCAGTGTCTTCACTGTGAAAAGATAGGCGAATTTCATTAATAAAAACAAGACAACCTCATAAAATCTTATAAAAAGGCAGCACATAACATGGCCATACTGTATATATTTACCCTAAAGATCAACCCATAAATACCCCTTAAAAAAACCTTTTAAAATATACAACAAATACAAACAAGATTTTAAATACCAAACACCTTACCATAATTCAACGTCTTGATCAGTATTATTGGAACTGCAGTCCTTTGGTATACCTGTTCAATGACACAGAAGGTTAATTGTATTATGAAAATTTGTTAGGTAGGTTATTATCTATTTTCAGACTGTGCGAACACTCACCGGTTGTATTTGCTCCCACCACATGGATGTCAGAGGAGGAATGACTGGCCTCATAGAGGGTACGGAAGATACAACACAAAGGGACCTGCTGCTTCAGCCTCAGCAACACAGAGCAGTTGGTCTCCCTGAAGTATAAGGTCAGTGTTAACAACAAAACAAATCTTTACACACGTTTTAGTCATTTGAAAATGTATACTTCACCTACCTTATTGCAGTCTTGTTGATGCATGAAACACAAAGATCCTGTTAAAAAACAAATTAATTCACATGATCGTTCTTTTCACACACACTGTTACCCACAGATACATCGTAGTGTTGACTTACTTGAAATAGATCAGATGTTATGCCACTGGTGGTCGCACTGAAAATCAAATTGACATAACAAGATTGATTTAAAGTTGCTATAAAAGTCTGTATAACTTTTGTTAGATGAGATATCACATTTTCCTCTTACAAAGTTGAACTCATAAACAATTAAAAACAAGACCTTACTTAATTTATTTCACATTGATTATGATGACATCATGAAGACAGCACAATTACAACAATATCCTCCTACTGAGAGAAAAAGCAGTATTTTTGTACTCAAGCATGAGTAATATCAACAAAACCTTGGTAAGACTAGTGTTGTCTATCACCTACCTACAGTGAACCCTTTCAATCATTAGTTTGTTTAATCAAAAATGTTTATGAGATACCTGTTTTTTGTCACACTGGCCCGAATTTCCCGAACTAGGCGCTTGTTGTTTCTGTTATCTGGTTCTGTCTTCTTTGTTTTGCGGTTCCCAGTGGCTTTTGTTACCAATGTTGTTTTAAAAAAAAGTGTGCTTCCAGGTTCGTTTGTAGTGAGGCCTTCTAACAAAGTTGCTCCAGCTGAAGTTGTGGTGTTCCTTTTTAAGACTGTGGTTGATGCAGCTGGTCTTCTGGTGATACTTTTTAACTCTGTAGTTGATTCAGTTGGAGTTCTGGTGATGCTTTTAGATACTGTAACTGTTGCAGCTGCAGTAGTTGTGTCCCTTTTTAAAGTTGTATTTGTAGCATTTGTAGTATGGTTGTTGCTCTTTAGCCTAGTGATTGCCAGAGCTGTAGTTGAATTATAGCTTTGTGATGTTGATGTTGCTGTCTTCACCAGTGTTGTTTCATATGAAGTGTTTGGAGAGGTAGTTTGTGGGGAGGTAGGTGCGACAGTGGTTTCTTCAATGTTTGGAGAAAGACAGGTGTGCAGCTTGTTTGCAAACACCTGTTTAAGCTGGGGAAAGGAACACAATGCTAATTATATTTATTTATAGGGTATACATATCATATATCCGGTATATTAGTCAGCAACAAGTCCGGAACCTATTCCTAAACATACCCAGGCAACTATTTCCTCTTCATCTTTCTCTTCATTGACATCCACAGTGACAACAAAAAAGGAGTATACTGTGAAAGGAGGAAAGACAGAATGTAGTTCAGTAAACAGATTGAAAAAATGATAAATAACCTCGGATAACACAGATGATATCAGCCATATCCCTGATCCACAAAATTCCTTATAAAGCTGTTTTCACAGGCAGAGTTGTACTTGCCCTATTTAGTCAACTGATCTTGAAGAGGACATATTATGCTCTTTTTCAGGTTCATATTTGTATTGTGTGCCTCTTCTGTGACTTGTTTACAGGATTTCATGTTCAAAAAGGTCTTTATTTTTGTGATGCAGCACCTCTTTTCACCCTCTGTCTGAAATCAGAGCCCAGCCTGCTCTGATTGGTTAGCTGACTGGCTCTGTTGTGATTGGTGAAAAACGTAGAGATGTCACACCCCTTATCCGGTCACGTATAATGTGCGCCAATAGAAGCCGAGTGTTTCTTGATGTCCTTATGTTATGAAAGTAAACCAAGGAGTACAATCGTGGTGTTTCAGGCTGGGGGGAGTGTGTGGTAGAGAGACCCCCTTTCGCGTGAAATTTAGGATTTTAGACTTTGCAGACCATTTACATGCACAAACGCCTATAACACACTACACCCCCAAAAGCATAATGGTATGTAACATATTGTATTTCCTGTCATCAGTCTTCAATGGTTACTGAGATCAGAGTGGATGAGCGAAGTACAAAGTTGGGTTTGACACAGTATAACATAATGCCCGTGCATGTTTACCTGAAGGCTGTGTGTTTGTTGGAGGAACAGTGGGGAGAGCATGAGCGGTCTCAACACAGGAAGCCTGACCTGTCGGCGTAAAAGACAGAATAACAATTTTTAGTTTGCACAGAATGAACGATTAAGAGGAACATTTTAAATGTACACTTCAGTTTAATGTTGATTTAATATGAGTCCTTTATTTTAGTGTAGACACTAGAAATGTTGTATTTTACACTACGCTAAAATAGTCATTATTACTGAATGTGTAAAGTCAAGTTTAAAGTGATCCTTCTATAATACTGCAGACTTCATCAATATGTTTCATTTTTTTCACAAGTCATTATTTAATATGTTATTGTGTGTTACACAATACCAATAATGGTCCATAGGACACTTGTAATTAATTCTAAATCACATCTAAATATGTTATACTGAGATGTAAACTGCCATGTACTTCGGAACGTTTGTTCAGGTATACATGGTAGTTTCCCAAAGTAGTTGAATTACAACACATCTCTTAA